AAGCTAAGCGCCTCACTAAATATAACACCCCCCTGCCCCCAAGTCCCTAAGTCCCGTTAAGACAAACAACAGGCATCCCTGCGAGGTAAGAGTCTGTTAGCATTACATTTTGTTCCGAATCAATGCACTGTATTGTATGTCACTATTTTAGACCCTGTTGATCAACCGGATTTGTTATTTACAGGTCAAATAAGTCACCATTTTGAGGCTTTTGCCATATCCAAACTTAAAATTAGTCGCACCACAAGACCTTGGTTCAAAATTTACAAAGGACCTTGACATTTTCAAAAGCAGACCCATTAAAACGTCCCAAGAAACCATGCAGAAAAATGTACACGAGTCGTCTGTTTTATTTTAAAGTGGCCATTTTAGGGTAATTTGCAGGTTTCCTTCCAAGATAATCTTTTCTTGCAGATTCATCTGATTGCGAATTCAAAGTATGTACAGTGACTTACAAGTTTAATGGATTGCCTGACCAAGCTGAATCTACTGCCGTATCAAATCAATTTTCCCAAATGACCTTGACATTCCATTAATTAGGGGCATGACAAAAAAACAGCTCGAATCAGTTTTGATTTAAAAGACATGAGTGTGTCGAATCAAACCAAATTGCTCCACGTGAAAATATATTGAGATGCCTATCGTAACTGTCTTTTATTGGAGAGGTATACCTTTGAAGCAAATGCCACGTTTACAGTACTCGCAAGTAAAATCATGTTTGTCAAATGACAAAACGAAACTCATTACATAATACCCTCTCGAATGTCGAATAATTCGGCGATCAAAGATTCATAAAAGAAGGTCGGGCCTTGAGAGTTGTAGTCATCATCTACTGTTAGAAATGTCGAGATTCTCGTCAGATATCCGTTAAATTATACCGCGATACCAAGTGTGCTCTACCACACACCTTCTCATCATCTTGGATTCTACCACCTCAATTTTTCTCATCCATGTCACAGAGAAGTATTTATATAAAAACAACCAATAACACATACCTAGCTGCAGGCTAAAGTCAGGGCATGAAACCAGATCAAGGCTCACATCAAAGCCTCCAACCTCCAGCAAGCAAAAGCTATCGTAGGCGTGTTGTTCGTTTTTAATCGTACCACACCAGATTGTTGGTCTGGAAAGGATTTTTTTTCCCAGTGTTGCAGTTCTTGTGGGGCGTCGCTGAGTGGGACCTTGTGAACATTATACAATCTAATATGATACAAAACATTCATATCAGGCCACATAAACGGGCATTTATAAAAACGAATTTTGTTCCTTTTGGCCTTTCTGTCACATGCGAAGATGTGAAACATTAAAAAAAGCAGTTTTTGTTTGGTTGGGTTTTTTTTCATTTTACTACATCATTTTACTACTTTTTTATTTGAAACATAATTGGTTGTATTTTTCAAATACTATAATTTTAAATATTTATTGTAGCATACTGACCAAAAATATATATTTTTTTGTTGCTTGTCCCATCTCCTTTTGTGAGTCTCTTTTAGTTTTAGTCCCTCAACTTTCGTAGAAAGGGTTCTGTCAGTCGTCATCTGTACCTGTGGGTAAAAAACAAAAAACAAAAAAAAAAAAACTTTTTTTTTTTTTACCCACAGGTACAGATGACGACTGACAGAACCCTTTCTACGATGGAACTTTCCTGTACGACTGAGAGCCTCCACAAGCGTCCCTCAACTTTAATATTGGTCTGCTATTGTTGATGTGCCATTTCCAGCAGTTCCTTGTTTCATGCTTCTGATTAGCCAGGCCAGTTTTTCTGGCACCTTTATTAAGGGTGTAACAAAACCAAACAAAATTTGGATCGAAAAATCGATTTTGACTTCAAATATGAGAGTGCATCAAATCAAACCTAACATATCAAAATGCATACTGAATTGTCTTTAAATGTCTGCTCTGGGTTTGCCATTTTGGATGACTTTTGACCCAGCAGTTTAGTAAGTCTAGTCATTGAGACATTTGCATACATGACTTTCGACATGCTTCTGATTGGCAATAAAAATTTAACATAAAACTTAAGACAATTGAACATAATATAACATCAACATCATACAGTAACAAAGTTAAAAAAAAACAATAAAAACAAAAGACTTTAAACTCAGCGCTCAACTCTGATGCTGTGTTGAAATCCGGGGAATAAAAAAAAAAAAAGGCACGTTTAAAAAAAATGGGCAGTGAAGGGACTTGTCTAATGTGCAGTGTGAGGTCATTCCATAGTTTGGCACCAGTGGCAGAAAAAGCTCTTTCATCTCTCAGCTTCTATTTAGACTTCGGAACCTCCAGGAGCAGCTGGTCAGTTGACCTGCGGCGCCGGCCAGGAGTGTACGGTTGGAGCAGCTCGGAGAGATAACGCGGGGCGAGACCATTTTAAGATTTGATCGATGATCATTTCTCTCATTGAGAAGCCTGCCTATTCTACCAAGGTCCTTTTTTGTCTCCGTCAGCAGAAGTCAATCATAACGTGAAGCACGTAAACACACGCATTTGCAAGATGTTCACCCCCAAGGTCACTCACACCACTCTTAACTTCACATTCCACGTGAGCTGTGCGACCTGCACTTTTCCTTACGCGTCTCCTTGTCATTGCCGGATTAGACGGTTCAGCTCGGCCAAAGGCGAGCACCTTCATTACTGCTGCACATCCCTTCCACCCAATTGCAAGCACTCACACTTTGCTGACACTACACACATGTTTGCATCTCCAAAGTCCCTGTAAAAAGATCACAGGTGGGAATAAGATGCGTACGGTCGTATGAGCAAGTCATAAGTACATCTCAAGTTTTGAACTTCAAGTTTCAAGCAATTGCTGAACTGCTGTGTCAAAACTCAAGCAGGTCAAGTTGAGTCCTCACTAAATTTCAAGCAAGTCATGACTGGAGTTCTGCAAGTCCTAATTCAAGTGAGACAATCTTGCTCAGTCACAAAATACTCGACTTTTCAGATATAAATTGGCAAGAATTGTCACGATGAAGTCGCTCATAAATTTCATCCCAAAATTCCAAGCTCCTAAAATTCGTGACTTACCGGTAGGTCTGACTCGGGGGGTAGAGAAAACAATTCAAGTGGAACCTCCAAGGTCCAACAAAAGAGAGAGACTGAATGTCCAATTTGTTCACATTTTGAACATGAAAGAAATCGTGACACTACAAATAGTCTGTCGCCAGGTTTTATTATTTTAACAGTATTAATTGTGATATAAATGGAAAAAGAAATTAAGCACTATTTATATCGAGACATGAAAGCAATAAAACCGTCTTGACTCAAATAACGACATATCTTTTTTTTTGGTGCCTCCTGCAAAATGTGGATCCAGGCATCCATTATCTGTTGCACTTGTCTTGACTGAGTCACAGCTGAGCTGGAGCCTATTCCAGATGACTTTGGTGCGAGCCGGCCAGGGTTGCCACGCAATCGCATGGTGCATACAGTACACCTCAGACCAAATGTCCAAATCCGCACCTCGAGGGCCACTAGCCTGCATGGTTTAGAAGTTTCCTTCCTTCAGGGTACCTGATTCAAATGATCAGGATCGTGAGAATGCTTCTGCAGAACTTGCAGATGAGCTGATCAGTTGATCATTTGAACTGAATTTGAATTGTTCAATTGGTTGTTATCAGCGCATGCTTTATGACAGGATCCAGGTGTGCAGTGAATGAGAGCCTCTCGTAGAATGACCTTCACTGTTTGCATCGACCATTCAGAGTATATTATTTCAGTTTACATTTTCGATTTGCATTCGGTTTACCATACATTTTTTTGCCAACTTTTTCCTGATGTGTTTTTGTTGGGTTCTGACAACATGAATCTTTGATTAGCACTCGGAACATATCCTTATAAGACATTATATGATGAAACGTGCACATAGCATTTCTCCCAGACTTATTGGTACAACTGTATGCGACACTACATCGCATTTTTACCAAAGAGTCAGAAAACGCAGCAGGGAAACCAGTGCGATCAATTTAGCCAGATTAGGGAGCAACAACACAAGAAAGCTGGTGGTGGTTTCATATCTCGCGAATAAGTGGCATTGTTAAGTCCTGTTCATATATAAGTCCGTGTCTATTTCGCAAATTTCTGGGGGGAACCCTACCTATGCTGCAGAAATCTATTGCAAACATCTGAGATTGATCGTGGTCATTTTTTTGGGTGGGTTTTTATCGTATACACATTTACTGTAATGGCCTCATGTGTGGGAAAAGATGATGTCAGTCACAATGCAGTCTTCAGCCATTTCAGCAGTGGAGTTGCTTTGCTTGCAAGATTTAAAGAGCAACTTGCATGGCTGTCCAATGTCATTCGATGTATTTTATTTTTGTCAAAAGACAACATATTACATTTTACAATACAAAATGCTCTTTATAGGATGGAGATGATATGCAGGTTGGTTCATAGGAACCATCTGTCCAATGAACATTTAATTTTTTTTACTCTGAAATGTAAAGAGTCCGAGTATATATATATATATATATATATATATATATTTTTTTTTGGGGCAAAAAAATGAAATGGCTTGTATTCATACAGCAAAGCACAGCCACCATATGCATGTTTTCAAACGTGCTTACGCTTGTGCAAAAGTAACAAGCATGCATGTAAACTCTGTCCAATGACATGCAACTCAATATTTAAAACAGTACAGCGTATGTTTTTTTTCTTCACATTTTTAAAAAAGGAGAAAATAAAATCACACAATACAGAGATAAATTTGTTGTTTGGTTCATGCATACTATTCTTTATTGGGTTTTTTTTTTGGAAAAAAAAAAGTAAGGAGTAGAATGTAAAAATATTTCTTTTCAAATGTAGGGCTTAAAATGAGATGAAATACAGTACAAAAAATATTTCAACTTCATTACTGCACAAAATGTGGAGAAACATACTTTTTTTAGTGGATGGCCACCATATGCGCACATCCAGCCTGTCTTCATGTACTACCCGCCTCTTTAAAAGTGAAAAGAAGAGAAGTCTTAACCTTCCAAGATGGACAATAGTCTTACCTTCACAAGAGTCCGAGTATCCCCACCATGGAAGACTGGAATTGTCCGACTCTTGTCCCCCTCCTCTCAGCTGCTCTCTACTCATGTGCCTTTCTGCCTGTCTCCCTCTCCCACACTCGCTTCACCTTCTCGTTCTCTCTCTCCGCCTCTCACGGCTCATACCCGAAAGAAGGCAACAGCGTCAGTCGAGGAGGATGCTGCTGCTGCCTGCCAGCATGGCTTGCCACATGTGGTCCGTGACACCGCCAATCACATGCTCCCCCCCCCACCCGACACAGCAGCTGATGCTCTGTGACATGCTTCCTGTGGTGCCAAATGGTAATTCCAGGCCATCAGGAGAAAGAGACCAAAAGTCCATTCAATTATATATATTTTTTAAACGAGGTCAGAGTTCTAAAAGCATTTTATTTGTTTAAAAACAACTGCTCCTTCATAGTCTTAACATCAGCAGGTGGGATGGGTGAAGGGTGGCAGGAGAAGTGGGAATTTCAATACCTCATTGATGGGATCTCCTGGCTTGTAACTCGAGTTTGTATTTCCAAGTCCTCCAGCTGGGAGTTTACATGCACACTTGAATAGAAGTCGTAAAACTGTACCCTGAGCGGTCAACTTCACTTTGTGGATATTTCATTTTAGGAGCATGTGTGAACAATTGCGTTCACCAGGCACATTAAGTACATCTGCACAGTCTGATGAGATCCTAAACAATATCTGTATCCAAACATATGGCTTTATAAAGACCGTACATGCCCTTATATGATATTGTATCCCTACAGGCAATCTCCCGCATGGCTGCATGTATGTATTGTAAAAATGTACCATAAATGTTGAGTAACCAAAACTGACTTGCAATCCAGCCCCACAGACTTATAGGTAAGTTTACGGTACCTCGTAGTCCCAGTTGGTCTCCCTTCCAAGTATGAACCAGGCCATGGTCCCTGGATTTTCTCAGAGTAGTATGGCCGCACAATCCATCTATGTCAAAAGCGAGAGGTAGATCCCAAATGCAGTACATCACACCACATTCATCATTGGTCATGTTTAATGTCTGCAATCCACAGTTAGCACAATAGGGAAACTGTCACTGTGATGTGGTTGCAGCACAACATCTGACCAAACCAAGTCACGGGCAAACAGAAAGCAGGAAGCAGGAAGCAGGAAAGGCCAAGGCAGGACTCGTAATCGGAGACAGAAGACTGAGGTGATCATTTGTTTGTCTACTTATTCTTTGTTGAACAGGGTGAAAGCAATTGATAACAGTTTCTCATTGACAACGCCAACCAGGAGGCAACTTCGAGTTCAGTGTCTTCCCCAAGAACGCTTTAAAAGCAAACAGTCGGCAATGAATCAGTCAGAGGACAACACGCTCTACCAAATGTGCTTCAGCTGATAACCAGGAAAATGACAAGCCAGGATGTTCAAATGTAGGCAGAATCGACAACATGAGGTCTGTCCAAACGAGTACAGTGAAACTCCTCTACAACGAAACCTACATGGGCGAAAATACCCCCTAGTGTGAAAAAATCTTCATTCATTAAAACCATTCCCCCTTTCTGGTCCCCCTACAACGAAAAATCCCCCTGTTGCATAATACGAAAACTTTTTCTCTGCCCTTGCCTCGCAACGAAATTCACTACGATGAAAACAAGCCTTCCGCAAAAATCTAACCCAACCTCAGCCTACAGCGACTCCTACTGCTTAGCTGGAAAACGGCAACAGCAAGCACCACAGTGGCTTACACATGCGCAGTAGTACAGAAAGTATTTGTTATTGTTAGTTTCAGACGCAGCACGAACGTTGCATTGCTAAAATGGCTTCAAAAACGGACCTTTGCAGACCAAGGAGTGAAGAAAAGAAAAGCTTTAATGCTTGAAGACAGGATAAAAGCAATAAAAACGAAAGATGGAGGAAGCAAAGTAAAAGACATGATGCAAGAAATTGATGTAAGTGAAAGTGAATGCTGATCGTAAATTTCACAATTTCTTTCCCTTTTTTTCTTTCTACACTGGCTATATGAAGTGTCAAATAAGCGTATGCTCATACTTATGCACTATTGGAATAAAAATAAAGAGTACACGTAGGTTTGTGTGCGTGTGCATATGCGTGTGTGTGTGTGTGTGCGCGTGTGTGCGTGCGTGTGTGCGTGTGTGTGTGTGTGTCTGTGTGCGTGTGTTTACATCTGTGATAAATTTGCTATACCTGAAGTGAAAAGTCCCCTGTTGTGAAAAATTTCTTGCTGCAAACATGATTTCGGTGTAGAGGAGTTACACTGTACTGGAGAGCCTCACGTGAGAGTGAAAGATCAGGAGAGGCGTAAATCGTGGCTGATTGCTGATTTTAGGAAACTTGTGTGCCCAGGTGAGCTGAGTGTCTTAGGAGGTGGGCATGGCTGACAAGCAGAATGGAGCACTGGAGAGGTGAATGGAAAAACACGGCATACACACTTAAGTCAATGAAGCTAAATTGGAACAATCTATCCATTGAAATGAAATTTATCATCTTTGAGATTTGAGTAATAAAATCCCCAAATTTTTGCTGGATGGCTATTATAGCCATCGGTAGATATTGTGTACAGTAAATACACCCCCTGATGGTTGTGAGCAGAAAATAGTGTGATGACACTTGGTAATTTTAAATTTTGAACCACGAATCCTGAACGGCAAACCGGTTCAGGATTTGCGGTTCGAGATTCGCGGTTCGGGATTTGCGGTTCGAGATTCGCGGTTCGGGATTTGCGGTTCAGGATTTGCAGTTCAAGGTTCGTGGTTCAGGATTCATGGTTCGGGATTCGCGGTTCAAGATTTGTGGTTCAGATTTCGCTGTTTGGGATTCACGGTTCAAGATTTGCGGGTCAGATTTCGTGACTCAAGATTCGTGATTCAAAACTTGTGATTCAGGAATTGCGGTTCAAGATTCGCGGTTCAGGTTTCGCGACTCAAGATTCACAGTTCGAGATTCCTGGTTCGAGATACGCGATTCAAGATTCGCACTTCAAAACTCGCAAACAAGATTCGTGGTTCAGGATTCGCACGTTGGCCTCACAGTGCAGAGGTGCAGTTTTCGATTTCGACTCCGGCCTTCCTGTATGGAGTTTGCATGTTCTCCCCGTGTCTGCGTGGGTTTTCTCCGGATACTCCGGTTTCCTCCCACATTCCAAAATCATGCATGGCAGGGTAATGGAACACTCTAAATTGTCCCTAGGTGTGAGTCTTTGCGTAGATGGTTATTTGTCTCTGTGTGCCCTGTTATTGGCTGGTAATCGGTTCAAGGTGTCCCCTGCCTACTGCTCAATGACAGGGGAGATAGGCTCCAGGACACCCGGGACACTCGTGAAAATAAGCAGATTAGAAAATGGATGGATGGATGAATACACAACCAACTGGTTTTCATCATTAGAGATTTAACATTTTATTCTTACGTTTAAACTGTGCACGATATTTTCCTTTCTATTAACGTTTTTGGACAAATCTGGCCCCATGGCATAGGTTTTGGTCTCGGAGACGACGTGACGTCAGGAACACAGTGATTTTGCCGGCTACAGCAACAATGCTTGGGTAAGACAGGTTTGTTCATTTGGAACGGCCCCTGTGTCAGGCTATCAGCATCAAAGTGTATGGGGTCATCTTCATCTCCTGGATTTAAAAAGTAATTTGATGGCTCTCGTCAACCTGTATGGAGCACTTGAGCACTTGCTTGTGTTTGAGTATTTTTTTCTTTTTTTTTTTTTTTTTAATCGAGTTACCGGAATTAAGCAAGGCCTCATTTAAGCCCGGAATCAAATTTAATGTCATTGCGCATGTGTGAGTACAGGACAACGAAATTCATCTAACAGTTACAACGTGTCCAAGAAACATAAAAAAGAAAAAAAAACAACAAAATAAAAACAATGAACAACAGAGGGGCCGAGAATAGAAAGGCTTGATGAGGTTCCAAAAACCGGCGCCCCAATTTTCTTTCATGAAAAAGAAAAAAATAAGGAAGGTGGAGGGGAAAACAAGAAGCCCTAAGCTTTGCTCACAAAGTTATAATTGTTTGTGAACAGATCCTGGCAGTTTTATGAAATTGTATTTCATGATCAACAGGTATGTTTTTTCCTCTTTTTCATTAAAAACGATTATTTTATATGAATGTATGTATATATATTTTATGTGTGTGTGTGTGTGTGTGTGTGTGTGTGTGTGTGTGTGTGTGTGTGTTTTGCTGTTTTGTGATGTTTTTATATAGCCCTTGAATTGGGCCTCATTGGGTGGTGCAAGGAATCTCCCATCTTTTGTGTCGGTTAAAAACTGTAACACCCATTCTAGACACAAACACCTGCATAAACAGAAGGACTGAAACTCACTTTATAGTCACTGTACTTGCTCCACCAGTGAAGATACAAAACTTGAGCAAATAGAATTCCACCAGGCTGTCCGGAAGATACCGTTTATAGTGCTTCAGAAGAATATATTTCTAGAGATGTCACGATACAATGGAGGGGATTCTCCAATCCCCCAAAAATGTGTTCAAATTTGGGTAGTGAGTAACCTTGGCCACAAAGCCGAAACAGTGAAAGAGCGGGGGATTACTGTATACCCTAATGAAGTGTACTCTGAGTGCATATGGCAATGTGCATTCGAGAATGATGCCCGCAGGACATTCAAATATAATGACTTCATCCGTTATCCTCACATGGCTCCATGTGATGAGAGACACCCAAAAGATGAAGAATTAAAAATGAGAGAAAAGATGATAAATGGTCTTCATGAATGACACTTAACTGCGCTGGAGGCCAAATCATCACATTATCTGTTATATCTTCTGTCTCCATTTTTGGATGTCTTTGCGGTCTTTTGCTCTTTTGCTTCTCAAAATAAGACTTACATTGACACATTTTGGCATTCTTTAGGTGCATCGGAGGGAATCCAGCAAATGAGCAAGGGAGGAAGAAGGCACAGCCAGACTCATAAGTCACATCATCACAAAGCGAATGGAGTGAAGGTGAATTTTTCACACACACTGAAAGTTGTGATTGCGTCCGTATGTTAGTACCTGTATATGACAAATGCAAAAAGGCAGGACTGTACCACTGCAGATTGGGGGGTGTTGGTCAACTAAATGCTTTCAAGTATCCTAAAAGAAATCCGTAAACAAAAGCGACTCTGGTTTTCCGTGGAAAAGATGTAAAACAATGTAAAAAGTTCATTCATTTAACTCAGTCAATTATTTGGTCATATTTAATTTTAAATAATAAGAAAATAATCAATAATAAGAAAATAACTATGTATAGCCATTAAAATATCGTTGCATTGTCGCATAGTCTGAGTGGCAACGCAATGTGTGTTGTATGTATGTGGGTAGTGTGCATGCTTTGTGTGAAGGTGGGCAGTGAAAACTCGTGAAACCAGCAGTGTATCAGCGCCTCCGTTGTTACTTCACCCGGTTCTTTTATCTTTGATGCTCACGTTTCATATTGACAGTAAGAAGTGGCCCATTTACAAAATTTTTCCTGATACATCATTCGTCAACGGCTTGTGCACCTGTCTGTCAATGTCCATCCAACGTTTTTTTTCAAGCCAAACCAAACTAATCATCAGTTATATTATTTTAACCACGCTTCGGTCATCGCTTGTGTCAGTAAGTTTCACCGGTGCACCGGTCTGTCTAAAAAAACATCCAATTTGATTAAAATGTTCAATGGAGTACACAATATTTCAGTGTATCTACAAACGGTGGCTGTCCACAGTTTTACACACACACACACACACACACACACACACACACACACACACACACACACACACACACACACACACACACACACACACACACACTGATACATTTAACATAGACTAATTTGCCCATCTACTGAACTGTTAATACAGCGGGAGCACGTTGATGGCTGCGTGCCGCTGTTTTAACTCCCAAAATGACAAAAAGTTTACATCTAAAGTTTAAAATGGCTAACCTCACTCAAAACACCCATTTGCAGAATTGGCTGCAATTGGCCACATTGCCTGTAAATGGCGCTGTGGTGCACGCAATAGACAGACAACGTGTTTCTGGGTTGTGTCGCTGTTGTCACAAATACACAGCACACTAGTGAAGACAAACCACTGTGTGATGGCCATGTTGGCAGAAAAGGTCATGGAGAGCATGGACATTATCTTTATATTGCCGCAGGCACGCAGCTCAAAAGGAGCGTGTCCTATCTGCCTATCTAGCTCTCACCATGTCGTACGAGTGCATGTCTCTTGAACTTGCTGTTTTTTTTATACGGTATACAGTTGCTTTTGGGTCAAGCCCGTATCTATGGAATGCAACTGGGAATGCAACTGTAATGGAGATGAAAAAAAAGAGGAACAGCTACACACCATTAGTCAAGCAGTTTTATCTTTATTTATTTTTAAAAACAGTCTGAATCAATGTTGATTTTAATGGACAATTGGTTCTAATGGATAACTCCCCACCCCTATTAGTCCATCAAATCAAGAATTCATTGTCAATTTAAAGAATAGTTAACTTCTTTGATTATAAAATACAGGTCCAACTACTGAATTTACACATCCCCATTGCAAGTGGGTAGTTAAAAAAAAAATCAAATTAATGATTGTACCTTAATCCAGATCCTCGCCAGAAATGAATGGCTTCTTGATGGGCACACGTGCCGCCGCCGTAGCACAAACCTTCATGGAAATGAGTTGTGTTGTTTGTGATTAATCTTTGTAACGAACTAACAAACTGCGATCAGTGGAGGTCATGAAAATAGTTGTCAAAATTGTTTGTTGAGATGGAAGCGCACACGTGAGCGACTTCTGGTATGCGAGCTCCAAATTCTCGGGGGAAATAAAGGGCAGTGCTAAGTGGAGCTTAGCGGGTCAAAAGTTTAAAATGCACAATCACCTGAATGACCTCGGCCGACCCTCAAATTTCTCACCTTCTCTAGCCTCACGCGCACACACGCACACACGCATGCATGCACACACACACACACACACACACACACACACACACACACACACACACACACACACACACACACACACACACACACACCTTCAGGAGCTGGATGATGGGCGGGGGCGCGATTTACAGCCATGAGAAGATGGCCCCCGCGACTCCACCAGCAAAAAGAAGCAATAGCCTCCTGTAGAGTTGTACAAGCAAAGTTTGGGGTCTAATGACACTTCCAGGCATCATCAGACATGGCTGCTGCTGACATTATCATTATCACAGTAAAACGTCGTAACTCTCACTCACACAAACACACACGGTCAGCAAGTAAATGGCTTAAAACAATGCACCATAATATCACATTAACAGAATGCTTAAGTCAGCCAAATGTGAATCCCATATGTGGCGGGAAAAGGGTGGGCCCGCAGGAAGAAGCCTGTAGCCAGGAGACGAACCACCTTCAAGGACATTTCCCAAACTGAGGTCCGCGCGCGAGCGCCCTCTCTGGGCTGCGTGCACAGGATTAAAAGTGTAATGCGTGCACAGGATTAAAAGTGTAATGCTGATCTGGTGTTATAATTGTAAAAACATGTTCAGGAAATACTGGCATGAATGAATCGGTCGAACACCTTCAGACAAAATCCATTTGATGACTTTAAACTCACATAGCGGTGTTGCATTTGATCATGTTTTGTTGATTAAACATGATACTGATATTGGCCACAAACGGGATTTTTGGACAGGGGGAAGTTGTGGGGCATCGAAGAGGGACCGTGTTTTGGGAAAGGCTGTTTTAGACTTTAGCGACACCTGGACAATGTAATCACATCTATTACAAGAGCTGTATCAAAAAATAAGGATTGGTTTTGATTGATACTGTCATGGAGTTTTTCCTTTGTAATATATACAGTATATGAATTAAGCCTTTCATGCACCCTGAAACCTTATAACGTGATACGCTGTCCACTGTAGTAACCGCTGTCCCTGAAAGGGTTCACGTGGGTTGTGTAAAACTGCCCTGCATCTTACTGAGAAATGTTTCTCATGTTTGGCACTCAAGGTAACTACAGCAAGTACCACCTTGGGTGCAAGCAACGCGACCCACCAGAGCTGTCACACTGATGCGAACGGTCCTGACTGGTCCTCTCTCCCATCATCGTGGCGGGATTAGCCGGCCAGGGTCACATCGCATCTTGAGTCCGACACTCGGTGGCCCGTGGGCGTGCGGCCCTGACTGGAATTTGTACTGAAAAATTCCAGGATTTTAGTAAATGAGACAACAGCTGTTGGAGGACGAGAGGCAGTTTAGGTCCAAATGGAATGAAAAAAGATGAGAGAAGAACAAATCAGGACAAGACAGATGTCCGCTAAGGTGGAAAAATTGTGTTTTGTATCACCACACACAGTGTGAACCAATAAGTTCATATCTGTGTGCCCTGCGACTGGCTGGCAACCGGTTCAGGGTGTCCCCCGCCTACTGTCCGAAGACAGCTGGGATAGGTTCCATCACCCCCCGCGAATCTCCCGAGGATAAAGCGGATCGGAAAATGAATGAATGAATGAATGAATGAATGATCAGAAGACCTTAATCAAAGCTATGCGGACCAAAACCATCCATCCAACTGTTTTCTAACCCGCTTATCTTCACAAGGGTCCATGGCGTGCTGGGACCTGTCCCAGCCGTCCTGTTTTTGCTGGGGAAAAAAAGAGGCGTTGGTTCATCTCGTTCATTTATAACAGCAAACGAATCACAAAACTCTTGATCACTTTGGTTATCATTTGAACTTTATTAATGATGAGGTCTATTCCGATTCAGACTTTTCACACACATTTTCAAGGAGGAGGAGCTGGGCATCCATATTATGCCACCTACTACTACCGGTAATGAGATTGCAAACCCCAACCAACTACAACAAAATGGTCAGCTTTCCACATGACATGAGCTTCCACTCTGATGTTTGAGCAAGGGGTCCTCAAACTTCTTGGGTGTGGCCCCCCACCCCCCCCCCCCCCCCCTCACTTTCCTAATGCTAATTAAACATAACATAATGTCTAAATGCCACAGGAATTTAAAATGTGTTTTTTTTTTTTTTTTTTTAACGTAAATTGAGTTACAAGCTTGTTCATAACAAATTCAACTCATAAGTTGAGGTAAAAAAAAAAACAGGACATTATCTTGAAATACTATGTCTATTATGAAAAACAAAAACAAAAAAACTTTCTTTAGGAATGTAAGATGAGGAAAGGTCAGAATCATACCAGAGGTTTTAATTGTCCTGACATAGGACCTTGCGGATGCACAAGCTATGGTTCACAGAGTTTGATAGCCACTGATTCAGAG